GGGGGAGGGAGGGGGGAAGAGAGAGAGGGAGGAGCTGTCATTCCCTTTGGGTAGGTCCTTTGCTATAGTCATCAAAAGCTGAGCAAATTTTAAATTTAGTGATGAAATATACAGGAGAAAGGCAAATCATGTAAGTGGAAAAAAAAGCTTTGTGATTTAGTTTTATGTCAAGATGTATTTTCCCTGGCCTTGTTTTCGAAGAAATAATCTACATTAAAACTGGAACAAAATGGCAAATCAACTTGAATTTAAGAGGGAAACTCATAGAACATATTCTTCTGAAATGTGACATCTTGATGAAATGATTAAATGAAAAAGATTTCCACTGACAGATAACTAGTTAGATGAATGAACAAAAAGAACAGGGGTTTTTGGTTTCACTTTTCTTTTTTTGGATGGTCCTCTGACATTTTTCAAGGCATCCTAAAAGACTAGTTGTTTCCCTCCCCATTCCAGGTATAACAATGATTTTAACAACTAACCTTCTGATAATTATAAACCAGAGCCCAAAGTGCAGCTGCTCCAATCTTCTGGGCATTTTGATTCTCATTTTCCAGACAGCCAGCTAATGTAGTAATGACTTTTTCTAAAAATGTACACATTAAAAAAGTTCAGTCCTAGACATAATATATTTTTACCTCAGTCTGATTGGATATCCCCATTTCCCCATTAGAATACATGTACAAAGCTGTATCATTAAACTGTGGCACAATCTTTTATAATTTCTGGTATGTGAAAGAACAGCCTCAAAACAAATTACCTTTATGGCAGGCATAGAATGGATGCATCAGAGATGTCAAGGTGACCTAAGCTTTTTGGTCCAACTTTAACAAAGGCATATTAAAAGACAACAGTAGTGTAAAAATAAGTACATAAATGGGTTGTATTTAATTATTCAATTATAGCTCACATTTTAGAATACAGGAAAATATATCCGGTGTCATGAAAAACCATAAAGACCATTTCACAATGTATCCCATAGGATGAACTACTATACATAACAATAATTAAGAAATACTATTTTGGTTAATTCTTTTAAAAAATAATTTTAGAGGGCCAGGGATTTAGCTCAGTGGGTCCACCACCTGCCTTGTAAGCACAAGGTCCCAAGTTCGATCCCAGGTACCAAAAATAAAAAATTTTTTAAAAGAAATTTTGGGTGTCAGAGAAAAACTTACTTAATGGCATACTGATATGTAAGATATGTCCTTTCTACAAAGGTAGCCAGAGTAGAAATAAAGAATCACTAATTATCTGTACTAATCTATTCATTTTAGGTGAAGATTCAGAGAAGTCTATTTCTAAGGTAACTGCCAGTGTGTTTCAGAACAATATTTGAACTCATTTATTATTTATCTTTTGAATTGTCATGATTAATCTTGATTGTCAACATGATTAGTTGAACTCCCATTTAAACATAAATAACATCAGGAGAATATATAATAGTAAAATATAGTTAAATAATTATGAAGTGATAGGCTTTAAATATTTTTCCCTTCTTAATATAACTGATTTAATAATTAACAGTTTAGGGGTGCCATGTTGGTGGTGTGAAATCAGCAATAGTGAGATATTCACACCATGAAAATCAGAAAATGCTATAAATCAAAGTTGATTCTCAGGTAAAGCTGAAAGGGGTTTCAGTTTTATGAATGTATTCTGGATATGGGTGAGAAATACTTATAAACAGTTTATTACTATTGGATTAAATAGTGACAAATTTACTGGGAAAAGAGATTAGGGATACAGTTCCATTTGTCAAATCGTGACAGCATGACAACCATAAATTGGCTATGTATACAAAAGTTCCAGAAAAATCAACTGTAATATTTTGTGAGAATCAACTGGCCATATAGAATTTATAACAATGAATATTACTTATTGGGCTATTATCTGTATGTGCTACACATCCTTTGTGCTAGTAAAATATACATACAGAGTTTGCCAAAAAAATGTATACACACTTCAGGAAAAGAAAAATAGTATGATGTTTTTTCAACAGATAATGTTACCCTCATATGGGGGACCCTAAAGGATGTCATATATTGCAGTAAAATCCACTACACTGCCAGCCCTTGAGAAGAAACTGAAAATGCATGTGCAGCAATCTCAATGACTAAGGTTACTCAAGCAGCAGTTTTCCATACTAATAAATGTCTGAAAGCTAATGGCCACCACTTAAGCACCTCTTGTAACTGTGGAAGCCAAAGGTAACTTGGATTAATCTCATGATGTCTCAATAAATTTAGTATTAAAATACTTATACAAGTTTTTCTTTCCCTGAAGTATACATATATATTTGGCAGACTCTGTATTTATTTATTTATATAAATGAAATTTGAATGTATTCTACTCTTTTCACTTGCCAAGGGCTAGTAGCTAAATTTACCGAACACTGCATGACACTGTTAGGTCTTAACCAGGCTAAGCAAGCGTCATAAAATGAACAACTATTTCATCTTTCCCTACTCCCTGGGACAGTCTGTATATGTTTGGAATTACTTTTTGCTTCAATGTTTGGTGAAACTCACTGGTGAAACCATCTAGACTGGTTAAGTTTCTAATTCAATGTCTTTCATAGTTATTGGACTTTTTGATTTTCTTTTTCTTCTTCAGTAAATTTTCTAAGTTACTTTTTGTTGTTGTTTGGTACTGGGGATCAAACTCAGGACCTTGCGCTTGTGAGGCAGGCGTGGTGCCACTGAGCTAAATCCCTGGCCCACTAAGTTACTTTTGTCCAGAAAAGTGTCCATTTCATTTTGTTTACTTTGGTTTTTTGCAGATTTACTATAATGCGTCTAGGAAAGAATTATTTACTTGGAATTATCTGGGTCTTTTCAATCTGTGTATATGTCTTAGAATAAGTTTTAGAAATTGTAGTCATCATCTCTAAACATTTCCTCTCCCATTCTCTTTCTCTTCTTCTTTCAGGAATTCATTAAACATACATATTATCTCAATATATTTGCTATAGCACATACCTTTTTTATTCCTTTATTTCTTATCTTTTTTGTTTTCTTTGCTGCATTGTAGATACTTTTCTGATCTATCCAATTTCTAAACTCTCTACTCTGCTGCACCTAACATATATTACCAATACCATATTAATTAAAAAATTTTGGCTATTAAAGGTCTAGAATTATGCTGTCTGACAGAACTTCCTATCATGACAGACTTTTTTTTTTTTTGTGGTACCAGGGATCGAACTCAGGACCTTGTTCTTGCAAGGCAGGCATGGCGCCACTGAGCTAAACCCCTTGCCCTATGACAGAAATATTTATAATAGTCAGTGCTGTCTAATAAGACAGTAACTAGCCACATGTAGCTAGTGTGACTGACAACTTGAAAATTTAATTTTGATAAATTTAAATTTAAATAGTTACATGTGGCTGATTATCATATTGCTCAATGAATGTCTAGAAGTTCTATTTGGTTCTTGTTTCAAATCTTTTAATCTGTCAATTTCCCAGTCCCTAAAAATATTTCCAACATCGCCATTTATTTTCTAAATGTGGCATGATTAGAGATATTTTTAAGTCTATGCTTTATGTTCCTAATATTTGAAGTCTGGGCAGAGAAGTGGATTTTTTTTCTTTGTTTGTTCTTGTTTTGTCAAGTGGTAGTTGCCTACCATTGGTGGTAGAATCGGTACAGTCAAGCACAGGACAGTCATGCATGTACTGCCAGTGGTTTAAGCCAACCAGCAGCGAGACATATGAATTACAGCCCCATTGTGAACATGTTAAAAAACTATTTGTGGTAGGTTCCCTGAGGTCTAGTTTGAACTTGTCCTTCATTCATCAGAGAAGCATTTTGCTTCTGCCAAGCATTCAAGGACACTATCAATCACGAATCACCTTAAACAAATTCCTGGCTCACTAACATCATGCATCCCTGGGAAAGGCAGACTGTGGTACCTTTTCTTTATAGTCATCTGGATTAGGGCTGGAGGATTAATTCTGATTCACTCTTCTAGCAGAATGCTTCTTCGGATTTCCAGCTTCAAACAGGCAGGAAAGCCAGTAATTGTCCCTACCTCGGAAGGTCTTGATCTGTTATCTCATTCCTCGATACTTCTGAGCAAAAGCTAAGCATACTTTGTTGGCAAACATCTTTAGACAAAACAGCTTTCTCTATATTTCTTACCTGTCTGGTCCATAGGCTTTCAATTGAAACTGGCTTGGAGCTTTCACACTATCTTTTCAGTTCTTAACTGTTTTGAGGTGAAATTTAATATAGCTTCTTTAGCATATTTTTATTCTTTTCAGAGACTTCACCTGACATTACCAGAAAAAGGAGTGCTGTGGATCTATTTTTAATAGTAAGGTCCAGTCCCAGTGCACACTCCTAAGGATCAACACCAGATGACTGAGTGCTACTGATCAGGGGCATAAAGCTTTCCTGGTAGAATTCTAAGATAGCTAATTCTGCTAAGGCCTCCTCTCTAGATGTTAACATGGAAAGGGAAGCAAAGCCTGTGGCATCCCCTGGACAGTTCCACACAGAATGTGCAAAGCGCCTCATCAAAAGTGGATCTATTTCCTTTAAGCTAATGAAGGAGAGAAAACATTGCTGTCTATAAGAAAATGCTAAAAAATAATCTAGAAGTGGAAAATACAGACTTCTCCTTTAGTTCACTGAAGATTTTCCTTTGCCCAACTCTTTCAATAATAAAATTGCATTAAGTAGTCCCTGAAGAAATTTATTCTGAGAAAGTAAGTAAATAGTGAGAGATACTACTGAGTAGCATCAATGTATCAGGAACCATAACAGACGTTTCATATGCCATTTCATTGCCTGGAGATAGGGCTTATTATCCTCACTTTACAAATGTGAGGACTAAGGCAGATACAGTGACAGAGTAGAAATAAAACCACTGATGTACATATTGCAGCAACAGATGGTTAGGGGAAGAGGGGGAATGCAGAGTACAAATCCATGGATGACGCAGGTGAGTTAAAAGCTGACTGAACTTTAAAACTTTTTCTATAAATTATTTCCAGCAATTCAATAATTATCAGAAAAACAGAATCATTACTGTACACATAACAATATAAGCAGAATCATTTAATTCACTTGGAAAATTGTTTCATCAAAAGAGACTAAGAAAAGATTAAGTGAAAAACATAATATGAAAAGAGAATCTGAAACATGTACCATGTACTAGAAATTATGCTAAACACTGTACATGTTTTTATAAACTTAGTCTTACCAAAACAAAGAAAGGAGAAATTGCTTTATAGATGGGGAAATTAGATTCACAGAGCTGTCTCTGTCATGCTGAGATTTAGGACTAGGTCCATGGGGAGGTCTAGAGGCCACCTTTTTATTTTTTTTTTAACCACATACATCTCCTATAAAAATCTCTTCAAATAAAATTCACACACTTCTCACACAAGTAGCACATGGTTACAGAAACAGATCTTTCCAGTTCTTTCTTTTGGCTTCAAATTTTTTTCTGACAACTAACTAATCTTTGCCTCCATCTATGCTGCATCTCAGAAAATGAAGTCTTAGTAAGGCTAATTTCACCACTGGGTTGAGCCAGAGCTCTCCTGCCTCTCAGATCTGTCCCAGTTAGCAAGCAGAGTGACAGGTACATGTACTGGTGACAGGTACAACTCTAGGTGTAGATTAATATAGTAGACAAAAGCTTCTTAGCTCTCTGAGAGCTTATGTTCCAGTGTGAGAGGGTTAGAATTAACACATACACATAAAATCTATCAAATACTGATGGAACCATGGAGAGAAATAAAACAATGGATAAGTTAGAGAGGGGACAGGAGGCACAGGAGAGAGAGTGGAGTTTACAATTTTAACTGGTTGAGAAGGGAGGGCTGGGCAAGGGTGTAAAATAAGAACCAAGAGAGACTATGTAAAGGTGCAAATTTCCAATGATGAATGTCATTATATTGTATACCTAAAAGGTACCAATGATTAGAATGAATAATCGATAATGTAAAATAGGAAGAAAAGGTCCAAAGGGGTAGGGGTAGTGGGAGGGGCAGGGGAAAGGAAAGAAGGGAAAGGAAAAATGATGAGAAATGGAAAAAATGGAAATAAAGTCTTTGTAAATAGGGAAGGGTGGAGGGGGTGAAGGGAGGGCTAGGAATGGGGAAAAAATAAGAACCAAGATGCATTATGTAAAGGTACAATTCCTAATGAGAAATGTAATTGTGTTGTATGCCTACAATGTACCAATAAAAGAATTTAACAAAAAAAATTTTTAACTGGTTGTTCTGGAAAGTCTTCACTGATGTAGTAGCATCTGCTCAAGGACAGAGAGGAGATGAGGGGGAGTTATAGCAAAAGGAAGTAAAGATGGGAAGAAAGTAGAAGGCAAAGTCAGAGAGCACTCCTGCCCACTGTTCCTCCTCCCTGGCTAACATCGTGAGACTCCAGGAATCTCACAGAAGACTGAAGGCATGCCTGATTCTTTCCCACAGCCCCTACCACCCATACAGTGCCTTTAACACAGGGTGTACATCATAAATATTTTGAAATTATAAAAGTATTTTGTGTTTTAATCTGAATGGAACAGTCTATGAACAAGCATATATATAAAAGTGTGTGTGTGTGTGTGTGTGTGTGTGTTATAATGTGACTACTTACCATTAGCCAGGATTTTGGGCTTATTAGCAGGACTGAAGCAAATATTATGAAAAATAAGAAGAGGTATGTAAGGGCTGCTCTTATGCTTGTATTTGCTTATCTCTGTAAGTAAGTCTAAACAGCCATCAAGCCTCAGTATCATTTGTTGCCCATCTTCTCCAAATGATAAATTCAGGAGTAACTTCAACCAAAGAATGGTCAGATTACTGAGATGTTTATTTCCTCCTTTTGGCAATGATAGAGACATAAAGTTCTGTAAGAAGTTACTCTGTGGGTAAATAGAGAGAATTATTATTTTCTTCTTGGGTGTTTTTCATTATTTTCCAAGTACTTTGTGATCAACTAGTAGCATTTTGATGTTTTTTCCCAATTTTAATTTCTCTTTTTTCCCAATACCTTCTAAATACTTCATATATATTATTTCAAGGTATAAAAATGTAAGAAGAACAAAATAGTACTCAAATTTTAATTTCTGCTAATTTTCTTCTTTATGATGGATGAAGTAAACTACAGTCAATTCAATTATTTAGGATTAATAATTTAGGTTAAGGATTATTACATTAGGCCTATTTAGTTTTCTTTTTTTGTCTACTTCCTGGCAATTTTGCTACTCATTAAAAGATATGTTATAGGGAGAGAGGAAAAACCCAAATTAGTCTTAGATTCTAGTTAACAACTCTGATAGCAGTGAAGGTATTTCTTTTATCATTATATCTACAAGTGCTGTCTTTTTTTTTTTTTGGTACTAGGGATCGAACTCAGGACCTTGTGCTTGTAAGGCAGGCTAAGACCTTGTAAGACAAGCTAAGTCCCCGGCCCTCTTATTTTTTAATCTATGGCTCATTTTTACATTTACTTTATCTCATCTGTTTATCATTACAGATAACTCCTCATGACTATATATCATTCTATTAAACTTATAGATGAGAAAGCTCTTTACTTAAATGTAAGAGTCTTCAACCTTCAAATAAAATCCTTGCCATAGAACCCTACCAAACCCTTAACTATGTGAGAGACAATAAATTACTGTCTAGAATAATCTATATGCCAAAAAACATACAAAAGTACTGTATCAAGTTGAAGCCTACAATGACAGTACGGACAGTTGGCCTTTTAGAAATGAAATGGAATCACTCAACTTTTAAAACTGCAGAATAACTCTTATCCCTTTCCTCTTGGGCTCTCCTGGTTCTAAATCAGCATGTTGGCTTTCATCTACAAAATTAATTCTAATACTTTTACATAAAAAGTTCCTGAGTATAAGAATGAAATGGGACCAGGTCTGGTGAGGCAAGCCTGTAATTCCAGCATTCAGGAGGCTGAGGCAGGAGGATCATGAGTTACAGCCTAGGTTGGGCAACTTAGTGAGACCCTGTCCCAAAATAAACAAACAAACAGGCTGAGGATATAGCTTAGTGCAAAGGCAAACACCCTGGGTTTAATCCCTATTACCTTAAAAAAAAGAGAGAGAGAGAATAAAGTGAGCTAAAGTAACTATAATATTAAGCAACAAAGAAACTGTTAAACTATCTGTCCACTTTGAATGATATTTGCTGTTATCCAAATCTACTCATTATCTCTTAGCCTAAACTGACGCTTTTTTAGAAGCACACCTTGTCTTTCTCATCGATTCTACCAACATATTGGAGATTTGGGACTGATAAGAGTAATAAAATATACATCAGTACTTTAAGATGCAAATGTGCTGTGACTATTCCTTCTTTTTGCTGGATCTAAAGATGTTTTTATGCAGTTTTATAGACCAGCTAGAATGAGTAGAAATGTACCATGGGAGAAAGAAGAGACACTTTGGAAACTGCATTGTACAATAGCACTAGATGCATTTGCCAATGTCTACTGATAAATAATGGAGAAGTGCAAATGTAAATGTTGGGGCTTAAGTCTCAGGAGTTTCCTAATTAGAGCAGAGAAAAACAATTAGATTGATCTACTCTGAAAACACATAAAAATATTCTTAAGTATAGCATCAGAATCATAGATTGAGTATTGAAGATATGTTAAAGATCATTTAACCTAATTATAAAAATGAAAAAAAATCCCTGAGGCTTAAAAAGTGTAAGTCTCCAGTTCAAAGTCACACACTGGACCTGAGCTTAGTACTGATATTCCATCTGGCTTCAGATGATATTCCACTTTGCTTCCTACTAATACACTGTGAAAGAAAGTGGTGGCAAGCAATGCCTCCAGATCTGCACTCTCACATATGGGCATCGGTCATTTTGAAGGGTGATAATCATATACATCCAGTTCAAGAGGACTTCTCCTTTTGAAAATGTTGTGTATATACATGAGTACATATAAAAAGAAAAAATAAATATATGTACATAAACAAGACATATACATGATGCTGTATATGTACATGTATTTATATATGTATGCATTAAGGGCATATGAGAAAATATATATATGAAGAAGCCATGCATTTGTTTGCTGGTAAATAAATGATTCCTCTGAGGGTAAGAGGGCTCTATAATTTGTAATATTTGCCAAACTTCATGGTGTAACACTGCCACAATGGTTGATTTCAAGATAACACAATGTCACCTGAATTGCAGAACTCCTGAAAAGTTAACAGTGACACTCATGAGTCAGTGGAAGTTGGTTCTAGCACATCACTGAGAATACTTTTCCACAGTCAGGTTGATGATTCCATTTCCTTAATAAGGCTGATATTTCTACCTATTTGGTACTCAAAATATCTTTGGGAGACTCACAGAGATGGAACAATAGAGGAAAAGGAGACCTAATTCTTAGGAATGCTGAAAACTTATGTAATTTATCTTGGTACTCAAGCAAAAGAAACAGAAGCATTCAAATTATTATTACTAAGAAGAAATAAATAATCTGATTATACTCAAATTTTAAGGGATTTTCCAAGTTAAGGATTCTGTTGACACATATCTAAATATAGACTAACTGTGAATGCATATTAAAATTTGTTTAACTTGTTCTTTCCCATTAAAAGTACTCAAAGTTGGCCAGGGATTTAGCTCAGTGGTTTCGCCGCCTGCTGCGCAAGTGCAAGGACCCGAGTTTGATCCCCAGTAACAACAAAAAAAAGTACTCTAAGCTGAAATCAGTAATAAGAAGTCAAGTTTTAGAACAGGAATTCTGGAACAGGAGAAAACTCATAAAATTGCCTATTATGTCACAAAGAAGCTAAAGTCTAACAGCGTAAAAAGGGACTGTGATTTCATAAACCATTATGCCAATGTAAATTGAACTGAAATGGTTACTCCTCAATTTGTTCTGTTTAAAGACCAAATACATTACTTTTATAATCTCAAATAAATGTAAACAGCTGTCTTTCTACAATTGCCACTTTTAAGAGATAAAACACAATCCAACAGTTAATAAAAAGGAAATGGTATGATTATAGTCTAGCTTGTTTCTTTTCAGTATCACCTGTCAACAAGCTTTATATAATGAACTTCCTTTTTTTTTTTTTGGTACCAGGGATCAAACTCAGGACCTTGCGCTTGAGAGGCAGGTGCTGGAACCACTGAGCTAAATCCCTGGCCCCATACTGAATTTCTCAATAACCCATTCACAATCATTTAAAATAAAATGGATTGAGATCATAATAAGTTCACCCCAAAAACTGAATTCTAAACTTTTGATTAGAAGAATTACTTTATTGAGTATATCTTTTACATTATGCAGGTGAGTTTAAGTACTTACCTTTTGAATTACTCCCTTACAGTCATGAGACAAGGCCAGGTTTGAAAGAAACATAAAAACCATCTGCTGTAGAGCAGTGTTCTCAAGGGGCATTTGAGAAGCCAGCTTTAGGGTACAGAGCATGACAGAGTTGCTGGGGACTCCTCTGTGCGTAGCTTGAACAGGATGTTGTCCATAACTTGACCAACAAAGAGAACTGCAACCTTCAAAAATAACAGCCCATCACAATGTCTTCTTGGTTCCACTGTTTAGTTTTCAAAAACAGTAAGTGGTAAAGCATATCTGTCTATCAAAATGACTTGGCCATTAACCTGTGAACTGCAAATTAGCACTGAAGGCTAATGTTGATATCCTCATTCTCTCTAATAGATTTACTGTTCTCACTGAGGGCCTAATTATCTCAATAGAACATTTCAAATAATAGGGTTATTTTAAACAATAAATCACATACACTAGGTCTTTAAGACAGTTCTTAAAGAATCCACTTAAATAAAAACCTGCATAGGAGAAAATAATTTTAGATGGGAAGTAACCTGGTCTAATACTTTTATTTCACAGAAGAGACAAATGAAGAATATAATATGCCTCAAGTGAGGACAGGAGAAATACTATTTTCCATACTACACAAGTACACAGAAGGAGCTTAGAAAAGCCAGTGAGCTGCTGAAGGTCACAGAGCTTACAGGCAGCAAGAGCCAGCAGTAGCATCTACTGCCTTTCCAGGTTCAAGTATTTTCTCAGTAGATTAAATGTCCATGTGAGATTTATGGAGGGAGAAAAATAACCATAAAAGAATTAGAAATGCATTTTAATGTTTTATCAATAAGATTGTATTACAATATAAATCTAAGGTAGAATTAATGTGAAAATTCACACAAGGAGGCCAGCTGGCATATTATCACATCAGAATCAACTACATTATGTAAAATAAACTCACAAATGAGTAAACACAGAAACAGTGATCTTTCCTGTATTCATAACTTTATAACTGTATTAAAATACTAATACTTCCATAAACCATTACAGAAAACTGTCATTAAATGATGCAGTTTTTTAGAAACAAACCATACAGAAAAATAGTTTCTTCTTTATTATGTTAGAATGGTAACCTAACAACTTATAATATTTATACCAATTTTAGGTATAGAATAACACAAAAATAGCTTCAAAATATTTGTATTAAAGTATATACTTCTTATGCTTAACATTTAACAATTGGTTCTTCCCCCTTACTTCTATAAACCTTAAATTTAGATAGTGAAAGAGTAAGGTAGAGAAGGACTATACACAGACACAAGCTATCCTGAGATGGTTGCACTGTAGGAGATGTTGAACTGGAAGATGCACTGAGAGGAGACTGCCCAAGCAGAAAAGAGGTATGGAGAAAGTCTATAGTAGCAGAACAAAGACAAGGACAACCCTCTTCTGGACAGGACACACAAGGTCAGTTCAAGGTTAAAGTGCCTGAAGGTCTGTTTATATCTGTTTATGCTTCAGACCTGAAGCAGACAGCTCCAGAAATGCCAGACCATTCCAAGGAATAAGCGATCACCGGCATATGGTAGAGACAAGATAGGCTCCTAACCATCTTGAGCAGTTCCTTCCCTGTATACTCTTTTATATTTGAAGATATTCTTTCGCTGATCTCCTGAATGTTGCCCAAAGAAGGCACACACTTGCCAACCAGTCAAATCTCCTATTTCTGACTATAAATTATAAATGGCACGTAATCTGACCAAAAATTTTACTTCATTTCCTTAGTGAGTTTGCTTTCCCTCTTCGAAAGTAGCTATTTTTCACAACTTCTCTCCTCTCAGAACCATCTACCCCTTGGCTGTGTTTGCTCTCACAAATAATGAAGAAAACAGAGTTTAAGAAAAAAATGTCTTATCTTTCTCATCAAGTCTACTACCCCCCAAATCTATGTGCCTGCTCTCAGCCCTCTCTTTCTTTCCTTTCTCAGCTCGTGCTCCAGCTCTTTTCCACATGAACTTTTTCCTGACTTTTCTTCCCAAAACAGATGCCTTAAGACCATCCAAAACAAATGAAAATTTCTCATTTGACTCTACATCGATCTCTTGCTCCAGTTCCCTGTCCCTTTAATAGGAAAATACACTAGAAAAAGTGTCTCCTCTTCTCACTTCCTCTCCTCAGCCCACACTAATAGGATTCTGACCTCAGTATTCTACTAAAATTGCTCTTCAGAACAAAAATATTAACTTTGGTAAATCAAATAGTTACTGTTTCTATCCTCATTTTATTTGACTGTTATACAGTCATACCCAAGAAAGTGTCTGGCCTCCTATGACTTTACTCCTACTTCAAGGACTGGTCCTTCCCTATCTTTTGGTTGTTTTTTGTCTTTTGATCAATTCCAAATGATGGTATGCCTCGGAGCATGGACACTACTGCACCAGCTAAACATTTTCCTGGGGTAACTGAAAACAACCCTGTTGCTTTAAATACCATCTATAAGACAGTGATTCCTGAGCCCCCTACCTCTGTCCCCTTCTCTCTGTTTCAGAATTGGACTATGTTTACAGTAGAAGAAGGCAGGGATGCTAGTATTCCACTTACTGGGTTATAATACAATTTACTTATGCCATAGAGCCCCTCACCTTAGGTCATCTGCTGCTAGAGAGAGGCCAACATGGCTAGGAACCGAGGCTGCAACAGTTGCACTGGGTCTTCCTCGCCAGTCACAGATTCAGCCAACAATGCCCAGGGACACCTCAGTTGCAGCCTAGTAAGAGACTGTGCTAGAATCACCAACCTAATCCATTCCAAGGTTCCTGACTTACAGAAACTCTGAGATAATTACATGACTGTTGTTCACAGGTATTAAGTTTTATGGTAACTTGTGCAAAAAATAGGTAACTAATACAACTCTCAACATTTTTTATCCTCAATCTTGGTTCTCCACTGAATTTGATCCAACCTAATATTTTCATTTAGATGAACACAGAGACTTCAAACATAACATGACCAAACAGAATTCTTGTTTTCTACTTCTTTTCCCAAGTAAAATCTGCTTCTCTCAAATCTTCCCCATTTTAGTAAATGATATGCACTCAGGCAATGATAAACACTTCGCATTTCTACAAATAAGGTTCATCCTGGATACCTTTCTTTCCTCCAATAAGTACATTCTCTTGAGTCTACTTTTGGGCCACATACCAAATCTGTCCACTTCTCTCTATCTCTCCAACTACCACTTGAACCATAGCCACCTCAGTATGTCTTCAAACTGGTTGCTCTGCTTGTTGGGCCATCCCTTCTCCATATACCACCCAAAGTGATATTTCTCAAAGACAAATTAGAACATGCTACTCACCAGCTGAAACCCTTTGATGGCACCCTGTTACATTCAAATAAAAGTCCAAACTCCTTATTCTGGCCTCTGAGGCCTCTATGATCTGTCCTAATTTCCATCACTATCATCAGAACTCACAATGTATGGCCCACGGTAGGCTCTCAATAAACTGTCAAGTAAATGAGTAAAGGAGAAGTCCTAGCGATACTAACAATATATCTTGACCAACTATATCCTAAACTAATTTTCATCATGCCAGTCTCCTGTTCTAGAATCCATAAATGTCTTTATCTTCACCTGGCTTTTACTGTTTTGAAATTTTTTTACCCTTTCTATTTTCCTATTCATTTTTCCAGCATCATAGCTCCCTGATCTAGCAAGTGACTCTCCCACGTCAACAAATATATCCCCCAAATATCTGTCTGCTCTTATAATATCTACAAGAACCCTTGCCTTTCATCAACATATCCTCAGTGAGTAGAGTACTCAAAACATGTATTTGTTTTTCCAGTCTACTTTAACATTACATAAAACTATTATTTTAGTTATTACTAAAAATCAATAATGGATTTTATTTACCATTTGGAAAATTCGCAGTGTAGACACAAAGTAGCTGCAAGGCAATTTGCAACAATGAATCATCCATTAAAAGCCAAGGCCAGAGAGAGTGCAAGACCGGGACAAGCTGAGCTCCAAGAGCAGCTTCCTGTGTGCAAAGGAAATAAGAGCTGTTGCAGTTTTAATATATAAAAATTCAAAATTAAATTCAAGCCCTCAAAAATTATCACCAACATAAGACAAACAGTAAATTTATCTTTGTTCTGATTAGTGTGATGGGGAATCTGAATATTGCAAATAGATTCTTACCTCTGGTGCCCATGACTCTACATTTGGCTTCTCTGACCATGAGCCTGGCCAGTTTTAGAAAGTCTCTTCAACACTTGGATGACTAGGATATGCCAGTATGAAAAGAAAAACGGCTTCTATAATGTGTAAATTATGCAGGAAAGTACTATCTTCTAACAATGAATAACTGGTAAAGGCTCTGACATACGAGAGAAAAGGCTAATTAACTGAGTCCTCCTCTCTACCCTGTCTCTTACTTCCCCCTAGTGCATGTGTTTATATACCAGAAGTAAATTATTATTTCTGAGTAATTTGAATATACTAATATACACTTTAAATGTTACATTAAATAAAAAAATTCTTAGGTAACTCAGTATTACAAAATTCACTTAGCCCTGGCACAATATATATGTGGCATCAAATAATAGAGTGGGAGAGGTCAGACAATGAGTGTTAGGAAAGTTCATGTGCTACTGGTTCCATCTGGCAGTGCAATCTTCAACCTTGAGGTGATTGCAGGATCAAGAAATCAGGGAAAGCAGCCGGTCCCAGAACGTGGAAGGAAGCTCTCCTGCCGCCATCCCAGGCTTCTCGGGCAGAGAAGCTCAGCCGGTCCCAGAACCCAGAAGGAAGCTCCCCTGCCTCCATCCCAGGCTCCTAAGGCAGAGAAGGTGAGCTGTGTGGGTGCCAAAAGCACCCCCGCC